AAATCAACTTAAGGAAAAAAAGGCTTGGCTACATTCTCTAAACTTCTATTTAATTATTAACATGTTTAGTAATAAAGTTTTCTTAAAGTTATTTTTCATATGGGTATTCTAAGTGGATTTAATATGACAATTTGTAATTTTCCTTGAAAAGAATAGAGAATTAGAAATCTTAGACTTAACTTCTAAACATTCTTATGCATTTACTATTAACTGGAGTTATTTTAAATTTTTCTTAACTTATGCTATTATATTTAGTAGACCAAAATATGGAAATCTAAAAGTTAAAATTATTTACTATAAGTCATATTTTTATGTAGTAAAAGAGTTACTTGAGGACAAGTAACATTTAAGTTTGAAGGATTTTGATGCACCAAAAATAAATGCATTTTTAGACCTATATTTTGTACTAATTTTTTGTGATATTGCGCTTTAAAAGAAGGTAATTTTCATGTTTTATTGCAGGTTGTTGATTTTTAACACTTGAAGCAAAAAAGATGCAAAATGGATGGAATTTAGAGTCAAAATGGAGTTTTAGAACAAATGTTCAACACCGACGATGCCATTTGACAGAAAGCACAGAATTAATTAAAAGACCACTAGCGCCGACCACGCTAGAATGGGCGCCGATGGCACCAATGTCGGTGCAAGGCCTGTTTCTCAAAGATTCAATAAATTTGGACGCTTTTTGAAGAGTTCTTGGAAGCACCTCTTAAAAAACCGACATTAAGCTCTATTTAGAGCAAAAATTAATAAAAAAAAGTCTCCCCCCACCTTATGTCCATTAGTTCCTTAGTTCCTTAGAGTTTTGAGTTAGATCTTTGAGTTTTGTGGTGAGTTTAAGTGTGAATTCTTTTCTAAGAATTGTTGAAGAGGGAGAAGAGGGAGAGAAGTGAGAGATGAGGGAGAGAAGTGAGAGATTTCTTCTTCCTTACATCTCTAAGAGAGAATCAAGAGTCTTGTAAAGAGAAAAAGATTCTAAGAGAGGTTACAAGGGATTTGCTTTGAGAAAGAGTTTTAGATAAATGTTTTTTGTTTATTATTGTTGCATGAACTTTCTTTTATATATGAAATTTGTGTTTTGTTGTATCTTTCTCATGAAGTCTGAGTAGTTTTTTTTTATCTTTCTCTCTACTCTGAGATATGGTGAAATAAAGAGATAATTTGGATGTGCCAATTTTAAAATATAAAATAAATTATGATGGTTTTTCCACTCTGTTCTTAATTTACTTTTCGATCTAACCAATTGAAATGTTAAAATCTGTTGTGAAGCATATGATCTGAGAAATGGAAGTTCTACAACAGAGTGAGAATCATATTTAATTCCATGGAGAAGTGTTTCGTTCATGGAATTAAGTGCAAATAAATAGGGAAATATACATTGTTGGGTGTAGAATTGGGGATTTTAGGGTGACACACTAAAATCCCCAATTTGGTCTTAATGTTTAAAAACTAAAGTGAGCGTTAGCCTTCAGGAAAAGGGAAGTGGGAGCTCTGGAGTGAGAGCCAGTATCCTCCCAGCCTAATCACAGATTTAAGAACTAAACTTGAGATTAACCAAACAATTCTCTTTAACACTGAATAAGGGTAGAAAATTAAAATTGTTCCTATCTGGCATAATACAGATTTAAATCATTTATCTCATCTCATTTAACAAAAACTCTTTGTAATGGGAAAAATGCTTTTTCATATTAAATAATTTCATCACCTAAACATAATTTGGTAGTTACTGTTTGACTTTGCTTTACAGTTTTGCTAATAGTTAATAACTTAGTTATGATAGTACCTTAAATATTTGAAATTAGTGACAATATTTTTATTTTATTGTTGTGAGTTTCCTAGTTAATTTATCATTTCAAATTTAAACCTTCCTCGTGGGATCGATATTTGGGGCTTAAACAGAAAGTCTTGTATTACTTGATAACGATACATATATTTGCATAGAATCCCAACATAAATTGCTTAAATTTCTTATTCATAAAATAACGCATTAAATTTTTGGCATCGTTGCAAAGTGGAGTTAACTTTATAAATTTTTCACAACTATAATTATCGGGGATCAACCAACTTCAATAAACTTCAATAAACTTAAATAAACTTAATGAAAATTAAATAAACTTTAAACAAACCTTATTAAACTTTAAACAATTTTAATCCAACCTTAAAATTAAATTCAACAAATATTAATCAACTTTAAATAGTAACAACCAACCTTATAATTGAATTCAACAAATTTTAATGAATCTTAATTAATTTCAACAAGCTATAGAAATCTTTAAAATTTTAAATGAATTTTAGTGATCTTAAGAAAATTTCAAAATAAACTTAAAATAAATATAATAACTTTAGCAAATTAATCTTAAAAGGACTTAAAATTTTTCAACAAATATTAACAAAACTTAAGACATCATTTTCATAATCTAATGAACAACTTAAACAAAACCAAACTTAAATGTCAACCCTAAAATAAACCATAAAATGACATTAAACTTTAACATACTCACATTTTTTAGCTCAAGTGAAATCAATCTTTAACAAGCTAATTCCAATTTTTCTAATTCCAATCAAATCCTTAAATCTTCTATCTGAGTCTTCCACATCAATCATCTTATTTACATTTGATGATGATTGATAAAGATGTAAGCCATAGCTTTAATCAAGAGTACTCTCAGGAGCCACTTCTTGGATGTTATTAACTATGAGGGAACCCTCTCAAAGGAATACCAAACCCTAGAATAAAGTAAAACTTATCTTACTCCCATAAGGTAACGAAAAAAAATCATGTTTCCATAGATTCATAAATCATGGAGATTTTCCTCATCCGAGTATTTCTATCCTTTGGTGTATTATATTATTCTTCAAATTTAATATTTGAACATTTAGATAGAAATCATTTGAGATCAATGGTGACTACATAATAAATAACCCACCCAGGAGATACCACAATCTTCTTAACATAGGACTCACCACAATGTGCTTGACATTGGAGTCGCTGCAATGTTCTCGACACTGGAGTCACCACAATGTGCTTGATTTTGTAGTCATTATATCTTGCTCAAACTTGGAGTCAGGACATTTGTGACACGTAGTCACTTGGCTACAACATATCACCAATTGTTATCTACTAATATCTTTATCTAATCTTCTTCACATATGTTGAATTAAAAATTGTTTTGGAGTCACACCCAAGAAATAGTGTTAAACAGGAGAGAGGGAGAGAGAGGAATACAAAGAGAGAAAGAGAGACAGAGAATAGAGTGCACGATAATGAATAATAAAAGGGATTCTTATTTTGCCTTAGCTAAAGAAATGACCCCCCTAATTATAAGAGAGGGGGTATAATGTGTGTAATTACGTGCATGCCCCTACTTTAATGGGAGCCTTACAAAATGTCTTAGGCATTTTATAGGTGAAAGCCTATGGCTTGGCTACCCAACTATTCAGTCGGCTGAGATCAGCTTGCCTTGGTTTGGCACGTCTAGTCATCTGACTGTGGTATGTTAGGGTTGCTAGTCGGCTTCTTATGGTCTTCGGTTTGAACGAACCTGGCTCAGTCAGCTTGATTCTACTGAGGGGCTACTCTAGTTCCTACTGTTGACAATCGCTCCCTAGCTGATAAACTTTTATCGACAGAATGAGACTAGATCATCATGTAGAGGATGAATCATTGTAATCCCACAAGTAGCTCACCCCTTAACAGAAGGGTCCCTTGTGATGATTCTGGAGTACATTGTGGTTGATCCTCAACCTCTTAATAAGAATATCAGAGGTGTCTATGTGATGTATGATGAATTCCTTCCCTTGGATTGGATTGAGGCAAGAGTTGGGCTAATGCTTTATCTCAGCCATATTGATCTTGGTCTTTGGTTTAGACGGTCCATATCTGATCAATTTCGAGCCCAAGTCAGGGGAGTTACACTTAGTTAAGCGAGTCCATTGATCTTTCATCAGAGGGTCTTCTAGTCTCCCATCGATGGGCCTTTCTAACTGCACGTCTTTATGTATAGTTCATTTGATCTTCTCGAGATTCGTGCTGATGTATTTCTGATGTACAACATACGTTCTATTGACACACAAACATTCATCATCCATCACCTTTTCACCAACATGTTGTAGTACACTCATAAGCATCTTTACTAATTAGGAAGGAGGGCAAGATTTTTAATCTTAATCAATATGATGAATTATTTCAGGTGAGCGAAAGCATAATTTTTTCCCTTTTCAAAATTAACTTCATGAAAACACTTGTTATTTGTATGTTTGAGAAATTTCATGTTAAAATGGACGAATGTTCAATAAAAGAATAAAATTAAAATATGCCTTATGTTCCTATAGGCAACAACTAAAAATATGCATTAAACAATATTATATGTATATGAGGCATCTTAAAATGACTGCACATTTTTTATGTGAAAAATAAATAGGCCAATATTTACGGGTATAAGTGAGTCAACCTGACTCTCATGAGCTAGCTTGAGCTAGACTCGATAAGTGGCTTGTGAACTCTGCTCGATGAGCTAGCAAGCCAAACTCAAACTATCTACTCATTAGCTCGTGACTTGGCTGGTATGAATAAATATTAATATAAAATATACTCAAATATATATTAAATTTGAAGATTTTATCTCAAAAATATAAAAAAATTTTTAAAAAATAATATTTTATTTTTTATATTAAATGAATTCTTTTTATTTCTTATATAGTATATAGTTGCACATAATATTTATCATTTTATAGTAATATTATCTTAAATAAATATTGCTTTATTATAATAACAAGTCATTTTTTAAGCCAGCTGGAACTCACAAAATTAATCACCAGCTCAAACTCACAAAATTAAACACCAGCTCAATTTCAAACTGAATTCTATAAAATTAATCGATGTCAAACTTCCAATAAGAGATGATTTGAGTTTGGCCCGGACTAACTCAATACCCTATCAAAATTATTCAGATATAAAACTTATCTGTGACTAAGTACACCCGACAGCGCTCTTTTTTACTCTCGGAAACGAAGCATAACTAAACCCACAAAATGAAGTAGAAAGATGAAGACAGAAATAAAGACGAAAAACAGAGAGAAATTAAGAAGGGAAGAAAGAAGTCAGTAGTACATCGATTCCTGGTGCGGAAGCGGGGACGAAGACAAGGGAGTAGCAATTCTCTCTTCTTCTGCCGAAGCCCTTATCGGCTCATCTACATCTTTCTTTTTCTCTCCTTCTCTATCTTCGACTTCGAGCAGGCGCGATTCTCCGAAGAAGAGGAGGCGAGCGGCTGCAACGCCTGATCTCCATCACGGGAATCGCGATCTCGGAGGACAGGTATTTTGGATGCGCAAGCCGATCCTGAAGACGACGCTTTTACTAGAATTCAGCTTGGAACATGACCGGAAATGGAGGAGGCGAGGACGGCACGGCAGCGTCTTCCTCGGCGCCGGCGCCGCTCGAGTGGAAATTCTCTCAGGTGTTTGGTGAGCGTACCGCTGGAGAAGAAGTTCAGGAAGGTATGCCCATCCGTGTCGTTTAATCTGGTCCAGATCTACTCTTCACTGGAGTCTGGTGGTGGTAGTTTAATACGCTTTTGTCGATGTTTAGTTATAGCCAATGAGCATAAGATCTGTTCAAAATTTGCTTGAAACAATATGATGAAGTGGTTGGGATTTAATAACCAGACTGTGTTTAAGATAGAGAAGGGAGCTTGTGTTCTTTGAATTTTCTGCAAGTGCACGGGTTTTAGTCATCTGTTTTAGTTAGTGATTCTCAGGAGTTCCATTCATACATGGGCTTGCGTTTTAGTGTTTATACACACAACCAGACTTTTTTTCTCTTTGTTTATGTTATTTGTTCTTTCTTTAGACGCGTTGTTTGATGCTTTTTCTTGTTTTGGATTCAACGGAATTTCTTTCAGAAATTGCAGATGAATACATTCTTTTAGCGTATATTCCGCATGAATCAAAAGATTCCTTTTTATTTTATTTTGTTTTTTAACTCTCTGCAATGTGAATGTTGACTGATGACAAGGTAATTTCTTTTATCTATCTAGCATTCATATTGTTTCATTTAAAATGCTTCCTTTGGAGACCTTATATACTTGTGCCAAATTACAAAAAAATATTTTAGCAGGTGATTTCTCCCACTTCATGCATTATTTCCATTCTTAGAGGAATTTACATAATCCTTGTGCAAAGTGCATGGATCATGCCGTCCATACAAGATTATTTATGGCGCAAATAGTGTGATACTTGAGAATTTCAATGATTGGTTAAGCATGGCCCGTGCTAATCTATGTTGGATGCATATTTAGTCATGTTTTTTGTCCATGATAAGCACGTTAACACAATAATTTCAGCTCATTTAGTTTTCTCTCTATGTGTCATACAAAACAACAAGACATGATTTAGAATGGATTGGTTTGGGTAGATAAGAGGTACTATTGCTTATGTTAAGGCCTAGTTAGAATCATTGTTGTCTTTGGGATTGATGGGGATGAAAGAGATTTTTTCGTTGATGTACAGGATTATTGGAAGGCTTCCAAGCTAGAAATGTTTTAGTTGCGGCATCTTCCATGTTTGTGGATTTCTAATGGAAATTTAGGTTACAATATGAAAAATGCCAGTATTTTCAAAATGCTAAGTGAAATGCGATGTACAAGGTCTCTTTTCTTTGCTTCAATGCAAAAAACATAAAGCAAAGCGAAAATATTACTAATTTGAGCATTTTTGATATAGGCATATTACATGCATACAATAGTTATTTAACCAAACTTAGATTGCACAAGTGAATAATTGCTTTAGCAACTATAATGCTACCTGCAATACCAATTATTTATAACTATTCAAAATGAAAATAAAATCAATCAAAAATTTAAACGATATAAATAATAAAATGATGTAATAATATTTTAAAAAATCAAGAATATACTTTTGAGATTGAGTGACCCAAACAACAATAGGAAAACCAAATTTTATTATGGAAATCAAATAGGAAATTACAACTAACATACAAAAATCTAAAATTGCAACAACTGACAACACAAACACAAGCTAGTGGGTATATCCATGGATGGTGGTGGTGGTTGACGAGGGTTTGGAAGGTGACACAGGAGTGGAGAAGGCTATTTGCAATTAACTGTTTCCCCGGTGCTGGACAACAATCAAATTCTTGGGACCAATGTGGGAACGCTGTCCCAGTTGATGGAAACAAGGATAGACGGATGAAATGGTGGCGAAAACAAAGAGGAAAAGCTAGATAGCAACGACAGTGAAGGGGGAATGCGTGGTAGCAAAGTGAGAGGGATGTGGAAGAGTAGGGGAAAGATAAATACCACTTCGGGAGCGAGATCCAACTGGGGCACCACTCAACCCTTAGAGGAGAATCGCCACATTGGGACGAGATAAAATCAGAGCATCACCCGCCCTTAGATACAACCCTAGAAGTAAAAATTTGGGGACGACCACGACTGTCCCGATTGAAAATTCATCAAAAATTACAAACTTAAAACATATGAATCAAATATATAAGCCCAAGATAACTATGATTGGATCCTTCTATCGAAAGGAGGTGCCAAACCAACATGGAAAAGCCTGTTGGCCCCCCAGGTTTGGACCCGTTCAGTTCAAACAAATGACTTACTTGATGGTTCCAATGGCTCCTTTATGCCCGCGTTGGTCTCCTGAGATTGGGAGAGTTTCGACCTCATTCGTTGAAACTTTTGTTTGCATGTTGGAAGTAGCAGCGCTACTGTAATTTACTGGGTTGAAGGATCTTCAATTATAGCCCAAAAAGTACCTTGATCCCATTGTCGGCTGCACTTTCTCCCAAACATTTGCGTAGTTTTCGCACTTGTGAGGACTCATCCGTATTGATGTAATCATGTAAGGGTGCATTGCTTAACTGAACTAGGACTTTGTGCCAAGTGTACCCTGTAGAGTCTTCCGAAGGTAGTCCCCGGTTGGTTCAGTTTTAACTGACGTGAGAACAAACTGAACTCCCTCTAACGGTGGCGGCCATGGTGGTAAGGAATCGGACATGATGTACTGGCTTACTCTCTGTAGTGATTGTCATGTATCTAGAATTGACATCTTTGTCCCGCTTTCCTTTATCATCACCAAAACAGATTCTACTGGCAGTTCTCTACTAGAAAAACTTCTGTAATCTCAAACTCCGTAGAAAGTAGGACTATGCACTTGCCATCTTTAGTGAAGGAGTATGTATTCTTGAAATTGTCATGCTTAGGCCGATGATCAAATTGCTCATCACGTCTCATAAACTGTGGTAGACATCTATGCTCATCACGTCTCACCAAATCTGATCTTATAGTTGGTTACTAATAAAAAACTCAAGACACCTCCTGTCAATGCTGACTCTGTTCTTCTTGCTCAACCACATTAGGTAGTATGGCCAGGAGTGTCTCTGAGGCGTGGGACTCAACTTGTCCACTATCTGTGTAGATATCGCATTCTTGCTGCTCTTTCTATCGATGATGAGAATACATACCTTACCCTTCACAGTGCAGCGGGCGTAGAATTTGTTATGGTGAAGCCACCACTAATCCTTTGCAGCATCAGTCCATATAACTCAAAACCAAAATATCTTGCCCTCATCCAATGGAAGATGATACTCCCCACCCTTTTTTTAGTTGCCTCTTCATCTCCAACTTTCGCTACCACACCTTTCTTTGTAAAGGACACAACTTGACTAGTCAAGCAACTGGACCGAAGTATTTTCTAGCTGGGACTGTAGTGATAGTGCTATTCTTCTTAAGCTTTTCCTAACTCTGAGTGACTTGATTCCTTTGATTAGTTTCTTAACTCCCCAAGGAGTGCTCCTACTGATGTCTCCAAATGCGTTTGGTTATCTGAATGGCGATAAGTGCTTGCTGTGCTTCTGTTGTCTCTCTGCCTTCAATGCTAAGTTCAATGCCATCCAAAGACCAGTAAGATTGTAGCTAGGCCGCATTACCAATGGCAGGCTTTACGCCTCCAAGTATCTGACTATCGTGTGTTCCTCTGGCTCTGTCAGATCATATTTCAACTTAAACCACATAAACTCTGCTGGGCCCTCTTTCACTAATAGTTCCCTCTACTATAGGTAGTAGAGCCTCGAGAAAAGATCCTGATGGCAGTGCGGGGGTGGGTATTGTTGCTGTAAATCTCTCATCTTCTCTCATGTAATATCTTGCATCTTCTTTCTTTATTTCTTTTCCTCTTTAGTTTCTCCCACCACAACGAGGCTTTCTTTTTCAGCTTGATAGCAACTAGTTTCACATTTCGGTAATCTGCTTCTCTTTGTATTCAAAGATCATTTAAACAGTCTACAACCACTCTATGAAATCATCCAAATTCATTCTCTCCTCAAAATATAGTATGCCCACTTTCACTCCCGAGCCTCTCCATCCTCGAACAAACACTTCATCTCTGTGTTCTTCAATAGACACTTCATCTATTTATCTTCTAATAGGCACTCAATTTATGTATCCTCTAACTGACATTTCATCCCCGTATCATCTAACAAACACCTCTTCTCACGGCCTCCTTTAATATTGTATCCCAAAGCATTTTGGCCTGTCTTCTTCATTGGAATTATTCTTGTGGAAAGGATTCAGGTATTCTTCCCTCTCTCATTGTCGGATCTTGTTGCCACGCTCGACCATGATCTCTCGTTGGGTCATTTTCTCAACATTAGCGATCTGTTGTAGCACTCAGCGGAATTTTTGCTCTATCTCATTCATGTAATCTTCTGACCAGGTTCTGACAATTGCCTTCTCGACAACATCATTAGGTTTTGAGTTTGGGTAGGTGGAAGGAGGTGTGTAGCGGTGATGTACGGTAGGAAAGAAAAATTTGGGCGAAGATAGGATGTAGTGGTGGATGTTAGGAACCCTAGGATAGGACTAGGATTTCCTAGCTCTGATACCAAATGATATCAAAGTTACCTAACAACAATATGAAAACTCTAATCATGCCGTTGACCACTAAAAAAAAAACTATAAAATACAAAAGTCACATATATATAATCCCTAGGTAATTATGATTGGATTCCTCTACGGAAAGAAGGATCCAAACTAATGTGGAAGAGCTGGTTTGCCCTCCCAGGTTTGGACCTATTCGTTTCAGATGAAGGAATCGCGGGATGGTTCCCGCGGCTCCTTTACGCTTGTGTCATGAAAGTAGTGTGAAGCATGAGATAGTGTGAAGAGAAGACATCAATAAATATTCTTGAAAAGAATTTTATGCATGAAAAGCTATTACTGCCAACAATAAGAATTAATGAGAAGTATATAAGAACTAGGAGTGAGCATGAAGAGAACGACCGACAATAGTGAGAATTAATGAGCATTGACTTAATTACTATAGAAATTAGTGAGGAGAAGCAAATTAGTGTGCCTAGTTTTTGTGGTAGATGTTGAACGAAATAAAGAAATCTGAAACAAAGTTTTGCTTTAGAGTAGGATTTGAGTGAGTAGCGATGTGATGTGACATGCCAAAGTGGAGCAAAATGCGTGCTTTGCTACGAGCAAGCTTCATATGCAAGCGATGGTTATGGATAATGCATCACTTCACTTTGCTCTTAAGGTGCTCATTTATTAACAACACTTATGAATGCTGTGCTAAGCTAATTTTTCAATAATAATTCTTTTATGAATTTTCTAGATAAGTTGCAAATAATATGGTGAAGCAAATTCAAAGCCACATTGGGCATCATAAAATTGACTCATAGTTTTCTTCGTATTCATATTGTATTGTCTTTAAATAACCATGAATCTAAATCCTCGACTAACAAAATCAAGCTCCGAAACACTTCACATTGTTATTGCTTGAAAAATAATGTATTACTGCTCTAATTGTTTTTGTTTGTTATATATACCTTCAAAATTTGTAGTCCATCAAATTGCCTTGCACAAAAAAAAATTTTCTACTAATTCAATGGAAAAATAGTAATAATTAATGATAAGATTTTGATATCTTATAAAAACTATATATGAAATTTTTGGGAATTAAAATTTCATATTCAATTAAGATTTCTTGCATAGGAAAGTAAATTGAGAACATGAATGATTTGAATAACAATCTCACATTTAAATAAAATGTAAAACATTGAATGAGAGACCAATGTTCATCTCTTTTGTAAGATTTCAAGCATTGCACTTGATCAAGGATGACCATTTGAGAGTAGATTAGGAGAAAGGTGTTGGGTAATTTGGAGACCCGGTCTTCCGAATTTAATTAGTTTCTTAATTAAGTATCCCACCTACCGTTCCCCTCCCACCCCCAGCTACAGCTCACATACCATATCCCACCTACCGCTCTCCACCTACCGCTCTCCTACCTCCCACCTACCGCTCTCATGGTTTCTATAAAAAGTCTTTTTTGGTTTAAAGGAAATGCAAGCCAAGCAAGGCCAAGCCAAGTCATCTTGAGAGCTAAGAGAAAGAGAGAAAGAAAGAGAGAGAGAGAGAGAGAGAGGAAGGGAGAGAAGAAAATAGAGATTTTCTTGTAAACGTCGAGGCGTTCGACGGTGTAATTCCTCGAAGTAGTAAAATCCTCTACAGCTCCATGGATGTAGACAAATTTGCTGAAGCACGTAAATCTGTGTGTCGCTCTGGTGTTTTTTCATTTTTGGCTTTATTGCCGTCGTTTTTCACAACAACTGGTATCAGGGCCTTGGGTTCGAATCTAAAGAAGAACGATGGGCTGAGTCAAAATGATGATATCGGGGATCGAGAAGTTCAATGACACAGATTTTACTTACTGGAGGATGCAGATAGAGGACTACCTCCATGAGAAGAAAGTTCATCTTCCGTTACTGGGAAAGCGACCAGAAAAGATGAACGAGGCGGAATGGAATCTGTTGGATCGACAGGTTCTGGGGTTATACGATTAACTCTGTCGAGATCGGTTAACCTATACGATTAACTCTGTCGAGATCGGTTGCCCACAACGTCATCAAGGAGATGACTACTACAAATCTCATGACGGCTTTATCAGGTATGTATAAAAGCCATCGACGAATAACAAGGTGCATTTGATGAAAAACTTATTCAACTTAAAGATGGTGGAAGATGTCTCTGTTGCTTAACATCTGATTGATTTCAATACTATCACAAATCAATTGTCTTCTGTTGAAATTGATTTTGATGATGAGATACGTGCACTGATATTGTTGGCTTCATTGCCAAATAGCTGGAAAACCATGGGGATGTCAGTTAGCAGTTCTGCAGGTAAATCCAAGCTGAAGTATGATGATATTCGTGATTTGATTTTGGCTGAGGGGGTGCGCAGGAAGGATTCTGGCGAGGCATCGTGTTCAAGTGCGGCGCTGAATGTTGATTCCAGAGGAAGATCACATGACAAGAACTCTAACAGAGGAAGATCAAAATCAAAGTATGGTCAAATGGGAAGAAGTGTAAAGAAATAAACAATATTTGATTTTGGTGAAATGGTTGAACGCTTGGTATCAACAAGCCTAGGCTCATTTTCTTTGTTTTTGGCATCTATGATAGAGAAATAATTGCCTTTTTTTTGTTGTAGAATTGACAGCAGTATATGTGAATGGAACCAATGGATTGGCTGTCAACTTGTGTTTGGTTGAAGAATGTTTATAGCTATGGATGTGATTTCTCAATACAAGAGATGCTACCCAATTTGTCCTCTTTTGCAATGGCTTGAATTTCATGCTAGATTCTTGCTGCTTTATTGAATTCAATATTCTGGCCATCTGAAGATTTTTAAACATGTTTCTTTAGTTACAATTATACAATTTTTAAAAAAAAAACAATTTGAATTATACAATTTTTAAACATGTTTCTTGCTACTTTAAAGTATCTTTTGGGAAATACTAACAATTTTTAAAAAAAAAACATCATCCTCTTTCCTAAGTATTTAGTTACAATTATACTTCCTTTAGTGTGTACTCCTAAGAATAATATGCATTTCATGACTTATTATGGGTTTTCGAGATTAAAATATATTTCTTGTCCCATATTGTGGACCTTCTTGGTAATTTTGTAGAAGAAGTATGCGTCATCGATTTTGCACTCGATTGAGTTTTTCAATCAAGACATCACCATGGAATTTTCAGACTTGTAAGTTGCATAGCTGATCATCCCATCCTTTGTTTGTCTTCTAAACTTTGTATGTCACCTATTTGACTTTTGCATCAGATGACTATGAAGATTGAATTGGTTCTATTGTGTTTGTGTTGGGTAATCTAAAGGGAGTGATTATCATTAATTGTTTGCAAAGAAGAATATTTTGTAGAAGTTGTGGTTGTGATTGAGACATTTAAAGCTTCAACAGAGTCCATTCTTGATACGAGCATTTTGGCCATAAGAAAGATGTATCATAGGTTTTCTTTGATATCGTGAAAACACAAAAAATAGAAAGCTTTTTTTCAATTGATTTTATTCGAATCACACAGATTTAGATTTATAGGACAAAAGAAGTTGAGAACGGAAACTTGAACTCTAAAAATGTCTTAATTCAAACTTGAGATACCAATTAACACATTGCAGTTAATAGATTGAGGAATGATGTGGCAGTTGAAGAGTTTAAACAACTTGCTGCATAGGAGATGAGCTCAAATCTATCTCAATTTCATTTTTTTAATTTTTTTTTCAGCAATCTGACTAATTGAGTTTGAATTCAACTTGATGAGCTTTTAGCAAGCCAATCATGAGTAAGTCGAACAATATTGAATTGAGCTTGAATAGAGAAAAAAATAAACATTAACGTGCATGAATCTGTCATGAACAATGCATAAGAGCTTATAAATAGCTTCATTCGTTTATTCATTGGTCAGACGAGCCTAGATCCTTTATATCTATCATGTCTGCTATGTAGTACTCAAGAAAACTTTCCCGTTTCTTTTTGTGGCGTGTAATGTTACCCAATTAGTATTTTCTATTTCTCTATTGTTTCAATGATTCTTAACATTGTATTGCCTTATTTCTCTTTTTAGTACTGTGTTGTCTCTCCTATGTCGCAACCATCCTCTTTTTGCCATGTTGTATTTTCATTTTTTGGGGGGCATTTTAAGCATTATTTTTCCATTGCTTTTACATTTCTACTTCTGCTGCAAGTTGTCCCTCTTCACCTTAGGTTGCTTTGTGTTATATCTTTGGCGAACTGATAATCCTTGCAGTTGACATTATTTCTGCAATTGAATTTGATAAATCTGGAGATCATCTTGCCACTGGAGACAGAGGGGGGCGTGTAGTTTTATTTGAGAGGACAGATGTTAAGGAGGTATTAGGTCTTTCC